GCAGCAAGAAGAGGTGCTAATCACAATCAGCGATTGGATGAAGCGAGCTGCCAATCTGAAGGAAGGAGTGCTGTGGAGGTTGAAGAGATGCCTCCCAGGCCAACGTAACGCAGCAACAAGATGGTATGAACACTTGCGGAGTATACTGCAGAAACTTGGATTCATATTCTCAGTTCATGTACCCGCACTGGCTAGACACACCACAAGGAAGCTGTGTATCTCTATCCATGTAGATGACGAATTGCTAGCTGGAGAACCGGAAGAAACGGTTTGGCTAGTGGAAGAATTGGAGAAGGTGTTCAAGGTGGAGAAAGAAGGACCGTACCCAGCCGACGGAGTAGGAAAAGGAGAAGAGATGCGGTATCTCAAAAGGAAATATGTCTTCATTCAGGAAGGAATAGTTGTCCAACCAAATGAGAAGTATGTCCGGAAGCTCATTGAGTTGTATGACCTTGGAAAGTTGAAGAGCAAGGCCACACCAGAGCACATGGATCTGGTAAAGGAAGACCGGAGTAAAGAATTGAGTGCTGAAGAGACAAAACGGTTTAGATCTGGACTCGGATCTATTTTGTACCTTGCACAGGCACAGGACAGAATTGACTTTCAGTATGCCTCAAAGTGTTTGGCATCAAGTATGTCGAAGCCGACAGTGCAGGCACTGAAGTGTCTGAAGCACTTGATCTTGTACCTGAGTGGAACAGCCACAAGGGCGACTTTGTTGCCGTATACCGAAATCGGAAGTCGGTTGATTACGAAGCTCAATGGCCACGAGGATGAAGAAATTGCCAAGGATGCAGGACATGTTGTGGAAGCGTATTCGGACAGTGATTGGGCAAGCCTGAAGACACCTGAAAGAGCTCGAAGGAAGAGTACATCATCAGGAATCATTGTACTAAATGGAGTACAAGTGTTGTCATTTTCGAGGACCCAGAAAGCCACATCATCATCAAGCTGTGAAGCAGAGTTGTATGCACTAACTGGAACTTGCGGAGAAGCTATTCTAGTCGGAAGGCTGTTCGAGTTCCTAGTGAACGCACCCGTACGCGTGGAGATACGGTGCGATTCCTCATCTGCACGACAGTGGAGTCAACGAAGAGGAGTTGGACGTCTGAAGCATGTGGACGTTAGGTTGTGTCAACTGCAAGATGGGGTGAGAGATAATCTTGTCAAACTTGGAACGGTAAGCACCGCGCTCAATGTAGCGGATCTGAACACCAAGAAGTTGGCGTATGCCCGAAGGTCATTCCTACTGTATCACTTGTCCCAAGTAGAGTACGATGAAGAAGGAAACCTGGAGTACACCGGAGAGAAGGAGTATGAAAAGCATGAACAGGAAAAGAAGCTCAAGGAGTATGTTGGAAGTGGACAAATCAAGAACCTTATAAGAGCAATACAGGTTTTTCATCTGATGAAGCCTATTACCGCAGCAATGCTCAAGGAGGACGTAGCGAACGCCAGAGCAGAGAGTAGTGAAACCTTTGGAAAAGGTATGGACGCCATGGATGGATTTACGAAGTTCGAGGTTTGTATGATCGTATGCGTAATGCTACTCGCAGCCCCGTACGCAATCAGTATGTGGAAGAAGTGTATGCGCACGGTGGACCAGATCAAAGGAGTCGGTATGGTGAAGATATCGACAGGGTCAAAGGCCCGTGTGTTCCACAAGGGAACATGTTGGCACGTTCAAGGAAGCCATATGCGTTCTGGCAAATGGATCTGGAAAGAAGAAAGTGAAGCTGTAGCGGAGGGCTACAGACACTGTTGGGTTTGTTTTCCGGAGACGAAGCCAGAAGGAAGCATGCGAAAACGCCGTGGACGCGTAGAGCCGCCAATCCCAGATGAAAGCGACTGGGAAGTGATGGAGCTTGACTACGAAGTAGAGTCAGCTGGAGGATGCACAAAACAATGTCACTGGTGCGGAATCAGGAAGTGTACAAGGGAGAAGAGAAACCACCAGAAATGTTCTTGCACGGAATGCATCAAAACGTATGCAATGGAACAATGGCGGAGAAGTTACGACAGAACTGTGACAGAGGATGCCACGGAAAAAGAAGAGACCCGTTTAACGGAAGATGCGAAGCATGCATGGAATGCCGGAGTACCAAAGAGCGGTACAGGTAAAGGATCCCTGAAGAGACGTGGAAGAGCAGCGATGGGGACACCAGCAATCGTACATACGGACGGAACGCGTATGCCCATCATAAGTGAGGAAGACTACCGACGTGGCGGAAGAATCACATCTGGAAGAATCACGCAGGATGTGGAGATAAGCGATGAAAACTACGTTCGTGGAATGGAAGCCCTGGGAAGAATTGTTTCACCGGAAGCCCAGGAAGAACCGGAAAAGAAGAAGGAGCCGGAGATGATTGAGCACCGTGGAAAGATGATAAGCGTGGAAGAGATGGGGAACAAGATGCTATCCCCAGAAGCACAGGAATCGTATGAAGAGTATTGCAGACAATGCAATGAGATGTATGAAGCGTCAGGAGAACGCGCACAGGGATCGGATATCCCAATGGATCTGTTTGGGAGTCCGAAGCAAGTAGTTGATCCCGGTACGCCAGACAGTACGGAGGAACGTACGTTGTTCGGAAGTCATTAAGCCCTAATTACATCGTGGACGAGTATGAGACAGAGCAGTGAGTGTAGGCAAGACTGAAAAAGTTTCACCTCGGAACGCACAGCAGCGAAAGCGCAAAAGAAGGAAGAGCGCTAACGCAGGAAGTTTGTGTGGAAGTTGTTTCACATGGACGAAGTACTTGTTACTGTACGAATGTCAGGACATGGACGGTCTGACACACCTCCCTAATTGGGGGACGGTAAAAGGTGGGTTGCACGGAGTGTTTAACCCAAGGACTCGCAATGGCAAAGCCTATGCAGTCACGGGCGGAGGTATGCCCGACCGCGGACCGATCGAAGTACAGCACAAGGACTTCGAGGCAGGGTGTTAAATTCTGTACATAGGAACGCCCCACACCTTTGGTGAGCCCAGGCTACGGTATATTTACTTGCAGCGCCTTTTTGACTCAAGCAGGAAAAGCGTGACCGCTCAGGGTTTTACAATTTAACTAAAAGATACCGGGGTGGCCCATCGTGTGATACACACAGGTCCGTCAGGCTCCTACAGTCTTTTGTGTTTTTGCAGTCGGGGCCCCGGTACACCCCCACAAAGTGACCCCCGAGCAACAAGCTCAGTATGGCAGGAAGTGTAGGCTGTTGGACTGTGACATTGCACCGAACACCTTGGGGCCCACTAGTCCCGGACCTCGCCTGCCTTGTGATGCTGCACAGGTCCCCTAGGTCTTTTGTTGTTTTGTATTCGAGGCGATGAGTCCGAGACATATACCAGTAGAGCCTCCAAGACCTTGCTCGAAGTGTGATGATGTATCGGGGCCCTCGGGCCGTGCATACGTACTTTTGTTGCTGCATGGGGAACCTTGTTGCTTGTTGTGTTGCAAAGTCAGAGATCGGAGGCACATGTAGTGAGCCAGACTCGACCGATGCACCCAGGCAATAACTAACCTTGGTAGTACTGTAAACTGCGGGGCAGCAAACTTGTGCTTTACCTGGAACCATCGGGGCGGAACAACCGCTGACGAGCAGCTTGCTGAGTTACCGACACACCGCACATAGTCTTCTAGCAATACGGCGTTGTACTCAGACTTGACACGGGTGGTTGGTAACTGTAGCCCAGAGCACGTGATACCGTGCATGCCACCAACAAGGGGCAGCCCTCCGGGCGGGGGCGTGCCCTCAAGCCTTGCGAAAGAAAGAGAGAGAGAGAGAGAGAGAGAGAGAGAGAGGGGGGGGGGGGGGGCATTTCCCGGCAAGGGGATGGGCACCCACGTTGTCTCCGCCCCCGAAGGAGTTAAGACGCATGTGGACACGGAGCTCCGAAAACGACATGGCCCCATGTAAGGCAGGCAAGCAAGCAAAGCAAGCAGCAGAATCAATCGAGTTTCATAAGTTTGTCAGAAATCAATCTGCGCCCAAGGCGGCAATTCAAAGTCTGGTGGGGTTGAATGGCGCGGTTGAGTTGAAACTACAGTCGTGTGGGAGATAGAAGCGGCCCGTTCAAAGGCCTCCCGTAGGTTGTGGTCCCGACAGTGGCCTAGTCCTCCAGTTTCAAGCAAGCACCGTGGCCATGGGGGTGTGGAATATCCAGCTGGCCGTCGGCTTGCTAAACATTGCTGACATACCATCCTGTTGGGGATGCGTGTGGGCTCAAGGACTTTTTCAATCTGCGCCATGAGCACTATGTTGTATGTAACCGATGAGTTGAAGGTGCATCTCGAACCTGGGAGCCCCATCGCTGCAACCTGGGATGAACCAGTGTCGTCACCATACTGCTGGAAAAGAAGACGACGTGTTGACCCTGAGCATGTATTGTCTGAGATAACTTGGCAGTCGTCGAGCGGGGATCACCAATGCTACGACCCGTGGGTGGGAAGGGGAGCACCATTGTTGCGATACAAGGGGAGGGTGGGAGATTGCAAGGTGGGAGCCCCAACGCTGTGTCCCGAGTCTCTCTTGAACGGGGAGCACCCATGCTGCAACCCGTGACTGTGATGGAGCAGGTGCACCAAGACCTCGCGCGAGTAATACACCGAGTTGTTGGAGTTCCATGTCCCAGCAGTACCAGAGTCCCTGCCAAGTCGCATCAACTTTTGGCTCTTGCAGAATACGACTGCATCTGTAAAGGGTCCGAAGACAGAAAACTGTACGGCATTGTCGCCCTAGTGCCGCAAGGTGGAGGAAAGGGGGGTGCTCGTCGAGTCCAACACTCTTAGTGCCGATTCGGGGGTCCGCACCCTTTCCAGCACCAGCCCACCCAGCAGAGACTAGTACTAGACCCCCGGGGATACCGCCATTGATGTGATCGTTGAGTGCGTGCGACGGAACTCAAGTTGGCCTGCGCGCAGAGCGGCGTATGCGCACGTGCTCATGCAGACATGCACACATGCGGTTGCAGTTGCTGCAACATGCCTTTGTGTTCCAAGGCATCTGGTAGTTGGGCTTCCGAGCGCCATCGACACCGACGTGACCAAAGCTAAATCGGACGGCTTACCTGGCCTGGCGCCGCCTCCGCCGAAGACGCCTTCTGCCAAGCTTTAATTGCGTCTGCTCGGCTTACGATGCTTTCCTGTGAAGACCTGTTGCTGGAGGCCCGCCGAGCTGACGGGGATGGCCACCACGGCCTCATCCAAGAGCCTTCCAGGCAGGAGTACCCATCGATTGATATGTAGGCTTGATACTTGTGCTGGTGAGTACGAATCACATCATGTTCACATGTGACGGATCGGGAAGATGCTTTCTGTTCTTGATATCCGTGTAAGACAGGCTCGAAACAGAAACACGGAGGGAGGAGTTAGGGCTTGTCTGCTGAAGGTGAAGCAGAGACATGCTGCCGGAAGAAATGCTACAACATGTCAAGCAAATACACATGTCTACAGCCCATAAAAAGCAGTAATTTAATCAAAGCTCCTAGGTACCGGACATGTTCTTGAGCCTGATGCACGAACTGGCACGGCAACCAATTTGCGCACGGAAGCATGCCGAAAGCTTTGCGAACAGTCCATTGCACGACCTTCTTGCGAGATGGTCGTGGAAGAAGGGGAGGGAAACTGCAAACAGTGATGGACGCTGAACGAGCGCAGACGCCATGCGCTCTTCGACTGTTCCTACTGCGTGGCCTTTCGCACAGCTTTTCTCCCTTTGTCTACCGATGCTCTAGCTGCCAGTTCCCTTCGCCAGCGCGACGGGGCCTGGGCCAAAGCCTAAGACACAGCATTCGTCCAAACTCGCGTTGCATCGACGAGTTACCTCTGGGCCGAGGCTGGGCACTGCCTTTGTGGCATGGAGCTTGGGGGCAGCCTCAGCCAGAAATGATTTCTGAGTTGCTGCTGGTCGAGGCTCCTGTGCCGATTTGGCCGAAGGGTAAGGCAGGTCACCGGGCTTCAGCAGTTCATCAGGTTCCGAATCGCCATCTCTGAGGCACCAGGCCTCTCCGCCGAAGTCTTCAAGAAACAAGAGGTCCGCCCGTTTCAGTTGTGTCAGTGTTAGGAGACGGACGATCACCAAGTCGGGAAAGCGTGCCAGCTGGGGTGGGGGGTGTGGCATGGTGTGTGCTACCACGCACCGAGTAATGCTGGATGTGTATTTTCCAAGAGGCAAATACTTGCTACGCGGGCTTTGCACGTTTTCTACATGTCAGAACAATTATGTGCCAATTGTCCTGGACGCATGGATTAAGCTCATGCAAGGCAAGCATGTCGTAGGTTTGTTGCGGTTTCTTTTTCAACGCTCACTTACTGGAATGAGAAGTCGGGCATTCCGGTGCCGGACACAGGCGGCAGCGGCAAAAGCGTCTCTTCAACACTCTGCTTTCGTCCAACCAGGCCCGAGGCCGTCAACAGCACCGAAGCACGCCAGAGAGCACAGTTTCTGCAGGGCACGAAACAAAATGATGCGCGAGGCATGAAGCCGGGCTTGCGAGACGGCCATAGAGTCGCCAAGCACATCAGGGTTGGTTTTCAGTTTCGCCGCAAGCCTTCCCATGTGAAGAAATGAGGCTTCTTACCTTTTAACAACACAGTTCTTTGCAAGTCGTCCCGCCATGCGATTCGGCACGAGGGCTTCACAATTCTGCGATGCTCGGCCGAGGCTGCGTGGGCAGACCGCCTCACATTCCACGATGGCATCCTGCGCGTGGACATGAGTTCGGGGCTCGCAAGTTAGCCTCTGAGCTTTCATTGCGTGTGCTACGAGGGTCGTTGCAGCTGATGGATGTGGGCATGGCCCGGACACCGAGCCGCTCTGGAACTTTTGTAACGGAAGCCTTAAGGGGACACGTCGGCACCTCTTTGCCACAGGTTCGCTGGTGCCGCTGGGCCCCTGCCTTGCTGCAGACCCTTGGCCGCCCGGGAGCCCGAAACGGAGCTCAGACTCGCTTCGTTTTCGGGGCTCTCGGCCGCTCCAGGTGCTGGCGGCACGGTTTCAGAGGCGGAGTTTGACTTTTCAGGCAATGCTCTCGAGGCGCGCACTCCTATCTCGCAATGCAGTGCATCAGTGCATCGCAGCCTCGGAGAAGCAGTCTGCACCCGCACGGCATGGGCCTGTTGCGAATCGCAGCTTGGCTCAGCAGTAGGGACACCGCCCTGCCTCCTTGCATCCCCCATGGATGGCGGGGACGAGGGGGTCTTCGAGGTCGAGGACCTCCTAGATTTCAGGCCGAGTAATGAAATAGTCATTTCTAGCACAGACTGCATCTGAATTGTGTTACAGGCATGCCGACGGCAAAGATTTGTATTTGGTCAAATGGAAGGGCTACAGCGAGACATCTTGGGAGCCGGATGAGAACATCGGCTCCGAGCTCGCTGACTTGAAACGCACTGCCAGGGCGAAGGCCGGTTTTCACGATCGGCAGGAAGATGGCAAGAAGAGGAAAAAGAAAGGTGACGGGGAGGAAAAGGTCGGAAAGAAGGAGAAGAAGAAGGACAAGAAAAAGCGGAAGAGAGGATCCAGTGATGACAGGAAGCGAAGCTCGGATTCAAATAGGAATGAGAAAGGGATGCCCGTGCCACCTCCTGGGATGATGCCGCCTGGCATGTTGCCACCTGGAATGATGCCACCACCTGGCATGATGCCCCCGGGGATGCCATTTCCCCCTCACCTCGCACCTGATGGCAAAGGCAAAGGTATGTCGCCCATGGCTGGCAAGGGCATGCCCGCCATACCCCCATTCGGCAAAGGCATGCCTCCACCCGGCATGCATCCGCATCCGCCTTTTGGTCCTGGACCATGTCCACCGCCACCGGGGCCGTGGTTCGACCCGAAGGGTTTCGGGAAGGGCATGACGCCAATGAAGGGATTCCCTGGCAAGGGGCCCATACCTTTCCAAAGGCCAATGCCTCCTGGTGCCAGAGAAGCATCTGACATGCAGCGCTTCGCCTCCGAGAAGAAGTACCGGCTCAGGGACTTTGCTCAATCTGTCCGTGAGCACTTCACAAAGCACCCCGATCAGGTTTCCGAAGAGAAACTGGCAAGAGCCAAGAGTCTGGACGAGGCCCCGAGTCACCAAAGCGTTTGTTTTCTGTGTTGAGAGTCACAACATTGGACACAAGTTCACACGCAGGAGGCGACATGTGTAGGGACGTCGTGGCAGCTCCAGAAGTTCCATCACACCCCAGGTGCACCTCAGCCCTAGGCAGAGGGCTGCGCATGGGGATGGTCCACAGTGCTCTATGTGGCTGTATTAGGAGCTAGGTGCAGGCAGCGTGTCGCGGCCGTATTGCTGCTGAGCGAAAACAGCAATGTCTCGAGTAAAAAACTACCAGGACTACGGGTAGCACTTCTTACACTGGCTAGCAGTGCTCAGATACGGATCATGTCTAAAGCGTTTCTAGCCTTACTAGAAGGTGTCAGTGGTATTCGGGTGCCACCATGTAGCAATGTGTCCAGCACGAGCAGTACAAGAGGAATTGGCTAACCCCGACTTGCAAGGCCTCCCAAGCCCAGCCTAGGGCCTCTAGGGCCGGACTTGCCGCCTTGTATGGAGATGTATAAGTTTAGCTTGATGTGGTCAGGCGCTCGGTCTGAAGCTGCAGGGCAGCCAGTTGCCTTTGTTCCTTCCCATCGAGATCTTGCTGACGCATGCGCTGTGCCTGGTTTGGCTGCTAGACAGCTCTGCCGGTGATGAGCAGTACGACCTGCTCCAGCAAGTTGCCAGTCTCGCACATCACAGGGGCCAGCAGGCCCGACAGCTCTTTGTCCGAGTTTTGAAAGGAGCTTGGCCACGAAAGGTGCAGCAGGAGTCCTCGGAGCTTTTGCCCTCGAGACTCTTTGCGAGTTTGGGCTTGGGGGCGCGGTCAAGCGGCCGCGGCTCCGGAGCGGCGCCTTTGGCACTCCCAGGACTGCCTGCAGATGCTCGCCCAGAGCACTGGCGAAGCCTTATCGTACAGCTCTACAAGGACCACAACCCCTCCAAGTTAGGGGACATTGAGGCTCTCATGGGCAAGTACAAGGGCCGAGAGAGGACCTTGTATTTATGTATCTGTGAGAAGTATCGTGTATCCCCAAGCCTGGAACCAAAGGCCAACGCTTCCGAGAAAGTGCCGTCCGGTGACGACAAGAAGGTGAAGAAGTACCGTGAGCTTATCACGGAGATCTACAAGGAGCACAACCCGTCCAAGCTCGCAGACTTAGATAGCTTGCTTCAGAAGTACAAGGGCAGGGAAGAGTTGGTCTACAAGGGCATTTGTGAGAAGTACCACGTGGAGCCGAAGACGTCCAAAAAGGAGGAAGCCAAAACGACCTTCGAGAAGTACAAGCAGCTGATTGCAGAGATCTATGCCGAGCACAACAAAGAGAAGCTGGGCGAGCTGGATGATTTGCTCGGGAAATACAAAGGCAAGGAGAAGACTCTGTACCTGGCAGTGTGTCATAAGTACAACATTGAACCAAAGCTTCCGACAACCAAGAAGAAGGACAAAAAGAACGATGCAGACGACAGCGGCAGCCGCAAGGTTCAAGATGGTGACGAGAAAGGCACAAAGACCGACCCCAGCACGACAAACACAGAGTTGGCGAAGCTGGATGACTTCAACTTGGCGCCAGGAGCTGAAGCCGAGCTCTTTGGCATGTTCAGGCAGCTTTTGGACATTGCCGTGCTTCATGGTGCCGGTTTTGACGAGAAAGAGGCCAGTAGGCTTTGCGCCTGGCAGGAAGCTCAGCCTCGGCAATCGCCTTGTACGCTGAGTTATCGCTTCGAGCTGCAAGGCCTCACCTCCACACAAACTGAAAAGTTCACAGAGAAGCTTTATGGCTCTGATGGCAACCGCTGGGACAGACTCCTTCGCATGTGCCCTGGAACCGAGATCAGAGGACCGAAGGATTCTCTAGATGCCTTGGTGGTGACTGGAGATGGTGGAGGAGCCGAGGGCAGAAAGCCTTTTGACAATGCAGTGGTTCACATAGCTGACTCCTTGGGGCGAGCCGTGCGAGAATGCATGGATGCCTTGGACTCAGATGATGAAGGTGCCAGGGATCGCTGGTATCTTCCATGGAGTTCCGAGGAAAACGCATACATCTTTGATGAGAAGCTCAAGAAGGAAGTGGGCGTGGAGTACAGGAGAGGCTGCTGGACACCACGGCGATATGTAGCGATGCACTCCCATTCTGCACACCACAACTTGTGTGGCCCAGATGTTCAAGGACGGCTGCCGGACTTCTGGCGCGAGCTCGCAGACAAGCTTTGGCTCTCCGTTCTTACTCTGAATTGGGGCAGCGATGTGCCTCTGGATACCGTGGTCATCATTCAGACGGCCGGTGACGCTGCTGGTGGTGGTGCCGCCTCACCCAATGCGTCGGTGATTGTCACGGCACCAACGCATGGGGAACTCGAGACTGCCAACAGGAAATTGGGCCCCCTCCTGTCGAAGGTTCTCACAGGTCTTCGTGCTAACGCTGCATTCGCCATGCACGTCCTGTCCATGCCGCAGTTTCGTTCCATGGGTCGAGCAACCTGGTATCCTGGCATGGTCTTGGCTGCTCGTCAAGGCTTTGAGAACAGAGAGCCGGCGTCGTCAGATTCTGAGGGCGATGTTCCTGAAGAGGAATTGGACCTTGATGCGGAGGTGTCTGATGCTGAGCCAGCAGACTACTCCCAACCGCATCGCCTCTCTCGACGGAAGCTGAGAGAGGCATACTTGCAGGGCCTCCTGAACCTCAATGCTGCAGATCAGGGGGTGAAGAAGGTTTGTCGCAGGTTCAGCGATTGGAGGAAGTCTAAACCGTTCCAGGAGCAGCGAACTGTGCTGGCTTTGCTGGAGCAACTCATGATCAAGCTAGAAGGCTTCGCGGATATCGATCTGGCAAAGCACAACAAGGAGGTACAAGACTTAGTGAAACAGCTCAATGAGCACAACACCCTCTTCCCGGTGGAGATTCAAGACGTGGCGCTCTCTATCCTCGATATGAAGCCGCCGTCGAAACAGCCTGCTGAGCTGCCCATCCCTCCTCCGCCTTCAACGCCAGCGCCAAAGCCCTATGTGGCTCCGAAGCTTCCGAAAGATGCACCGCCCCCGCTTCCTGAAAACAAGTATCCGTGGCAGGAGAAGATTTTCTTGGACACGCTCCTCTCCAAGGGGCTCTATGGCTCCAATGTGCTTAGCCGTGTTATCGGGAGAGGTGGTATGCACCACCGTCGCATGGAGAGTGAAAGCGGGGCCCGTGTCTTCTTCCGCGGCCTGGGTGTCAGCGGTCGGGATATGGATCTCACCGATCCTACCGACTGCCGGCTTCACATCTCAGTCAAAGGCGAGGTGCCGCAGCAAGGCAAGTCTGTGAGACGGATCATCAAGGAAATCGTAGCGGAGGTGGATGCAGAGCTCTCGGAGAGAGGGGAGACTGGTCCTGCTCTGGACAATCCCCGGATCCCAGATGCACACCCTTTCGGTTTCATGCTTGGCCGAGGCACGGGACCCGAGAATGGAGAGCCGTTGAAGTTTCGCTTCCCGGAGGAGGACGGCCAGACCTTGAATGACATGTTGCTCTGGTTGAAGCAGGCCAAACTGCCTTTGGAGCTCGACTCTGATACGCAGTGGCGCACTACATTGCAGGCTGGGCCAACTTGCGTAGGACCACTCCGCACGACACGGTTACAGGGTCGCGCGTGGTGATTTTGCGCTCCTGTGTCTGTGTGTCTGCGCGTCTATAGTCTGTGCGTCTGTGTGCCTGTGTGTGTGTGGAACTCTATGACTACGGTACCTCTTTCACAGCGCGAGGGGACCAGGCCCCCAGTTGCGAACCTGGTCCAACGAAGCTAAGCAACTGGAGGGGAAGCCTTGAAAGACCTCGTCAGGGTGTAACTGCAAGTGGATGGTCATTGTTCCATGATGTTCCATGGTAGAGTTTGGGTACCTTTGCCTTGTACAGCATGCTACAACACAAAGTCTTGAGGCCAGACATGTACCAGAATCCGTGAAAGCTTCCTGCTCTTAAGATACATCAAGCCATCAAGCAGTGCTTGATAAGTT